TTTATGGGTATTAGTAAGAGATAATGTAGAGTTCTTCATGTAATGTGTTGTTTGAAAAGTGAAGCATAAGCAAAAGCATGCCATGTCCTAAAATCCTATGTGCCGTATCAAATACAAATGCTTCTCTACATGTCTTTAACAAATGAATGCATCCATCTACGTGTAAAATACTATTATGATTAAATAGTATAGCCGCAGAGCTATATTGTAGTTTTTTTTTTAGTTTTTTTAAAAATAAATAATATAGCCACATGACGATATTGTTTTAATATAATATAATTAAATGGCTTAATTACTATAGTGCACCCTGAAACATTGGTTAATTCTTACTTTACCCCCTTGAAGTTAAAGTGGCTCACTTTGCCCCCTTGACCGAGGTTTGATGTTCCCCTACCGTTAACTCCATCCAAAAATCCGTTAAGTTTGATGATGTGACATGAGTATTTTAGTAATTTTGTGCACATAAGTTTTTTAATTCCTTTAAAAAAATTAAAATACAAACATAAAATTGAAAACAAAATAGATTTTAGAAAAGAGTAATACTACACTTACCACATTATTATCTCACATTTCTATACCACATGATGTGGCATATGCCACATCAATTAAATGAATGAAGTGTATGTTAATAAATAAAATTAGAAAAACAAAAACTAGTATTTTACATGATGTGGTATATACACATCAACTGCCACATCATGTGGTATAAAATTGTGGTATAAAAAATGTGATAGGACTAGTATTATTCTTTAGAAAAAGAAAAAAAACCCTACCCATCCCTTCGCACCAAATCCACCCCCCTTTCTCTGTCCCTGTAAGACCCACCAGAAACCCATCGCTTCCTTCCCCCCCTCCCAACACAAACCCGTAATCCACAACCCACCCTTCTCCCTGTGCAGAACCCGGAAAGCAATCGACCCCTACCTACAACCCACCTTTCCCTGCGCAGAACCCAGAAACCTATTCCTCCCTCTCCCCCCTCCCCCTACCCCCACTGGTTTCTTCTCTGCTCCCCTTCCCCATTGAGACCTATCGCCCCCTCCCTCTGGTTTTTTCTCACCCTCACACCGC